CTTTCCTTTGATATGAGGCATCGACCTGAGAAGCACAGGAAGTGCTGCAGGCTGAGGCTGAGGTCTAGCCAGGGCTGAGATCTGGACTTGGGACCGAGGTTGCTCCGTGTTGGGAAGGATGTGGTCACAAGTCATGATAAGGGGTGTTTTTGCTCACTGTCTTGGCTCTAATGATACAGCAGGTTCCCAGGGCCCATTATATTAGGTCTTCATTTCATCTTCTTTTGTGAATTTTATGTACTCTGTGGCTGCAATTCTTTGATTATAACTGACCTTAAATAAGGTTTTTTTCAAGTAAATATCTGACCCTCAAAAGCCTGATTTGGTTTCAGCACCTGTGTGGTATGGAAAGTTATATCTCGATACCCTACAGTGAAAACATATGTTTCCTTTCTGCTATTAAATATTTTCATTTGCTTCAGTTGGAATAGCATTTCCAACAAAAAGCAAAATAATCAAGAAATAAGACATTACTTTTTCTTTGGTGGCATGGGTAATTCTATTTTTTCTTGAAGTATAGTTGATTTGCTATATTATGCTTTCTTCAGGTGTACAACATAATGATTCAGTATTTTTATAGATTATACTCCATTTAAAGTTATTGCAAAACAATAGCTCTGTTTCTCTGTGCTCTTGCTTATTACTCTGTACATAGTAGTTTGTATCTCTTAAGCCCACCCCCCTCTCCACACTGGTAACCACTAGTTCGTTCTCTATACCTGTGAGTCTGTTGCTATTTTGTTATCTACATTCTTTTGTTTTATTTTTCAGATTCCACAAATAAGTGATAACATAGAGTATTGGTCTTCCTCTGTCTGACTTATCTCACTGGAATTTACTTTATTAAAAAATCCTCACCATATCTGAGAAATAGAGAAACAAATTTACGTTCCCAGCATGAGTGAAGAACAGATGAACATTTGTAGCCATACATCCTGTCTGCCCAGGCTGAGTGCCCAGAAAGGATAAGCAGCAGGTAGGGAAGAGGCCCAGGAAAAGGAGAGAGCCTCCCAGGGTGTGAGCAGGCGAAACACCTCCCTCCACTGGGTAAATTTGTATGAGAAGGAATGTCTACGTGCTCTTACACCTTTTGGTTCCTGGACATCCACCTTCTGGCTATGAGTTAGATGTCACTATATTTGGCCCCTGGAGGAGACTGCAGCCAATCCAAGGCCACCTGTCAGGGAGGGAGCCCTGACCTCACTCTCTGCCCACTTTCCAGTCTCCCAAACAGCAACCAGAGATAAGACCATTGACCTAGTCCATGAAGGTCTGACTCGTAAGGCACACAGGACAGTTAAGAGAAGTGGACAGTCAATCTGGAAGAGCAAAAGGAAGAAATCAAGCACGTGGTCACGTAAAGTGGGTTATGTTTGCCCCCAAATAAGTAATATAAGGTGAAGAGTAGGAAGAAGATTTCATCAAGCTTGTTTCATTTCACTTTCCACAAAGCCACTAAGATCCCGTCCCTAACAGAACAGGATGCGCCACTGCTCCTTCAGTAAGAAAACAGGAAACTGGACGGGTGTTGAGAAAGTATCATTAAATTCTGTGCTTTCTAGTGGATAAACTTCATAGACGGGAGCATGTGTTTCTTTGTTATTTCCTCAGGGCTTGGAAATCCTAGTGCCGGAGGAAGGAATGCCTTTGTCAGGTGACACAGTGATGGTTTCTTTGAACTTCAAATTCCATCGGGTGAAATTAAATGGAAATCAACGATTTCCAATGTGCCCATTAGTGGAATCCATAGGGGTTAGCCTTCTGCGGCGAGAGCCGGTCGAAAGTCTATCTTCTCCCTACTCTCCAGGTGAAGATCACGGAGGCTGATTTTCTAGCAACCTTCCACGAGAGGCAGAAGATCACGTTCTCAGGCAATAGGAGTGCCAAACAACCTTGCAGACAGAAACCCCTCCTGTGCAACGAAGTGTGAAGTTTTTGCTCATCACGGCACCTGCATCTGGACAAAACAGAAGCAAAGAAAGCAAGAACGTCGTAGCACAGTGTTAATAAGAAGACTGCATATTTTTGGCACTGTCTGTACTACTTAGTGTCTATAATAAGGTAAAAAAAAAAGACATTTAAGCCCAATAAGCCACCCCGAGCATTAACACTGTCTCTCACTTGCCAGACAGGATCACTGGGAATCAAGAGAGAAAAGAAGATTTCATTTTGTAAAGAAGCAAAAGTTGTTAGAGAAGAGGGGAGAAAAAAAATGGTCAAGACAGAGCCCATTACAGGCCTTTCTAACCATCAAATTTCATGTTTCTCTAAGTGCTCAAAAGTTTCCCAGGTATTTTTAATATTATGAAACGTGCGAATTCTTTTTAAAAATAAAATTTGAAATAAAATTCAAAAGTTTTCTATTAGACAATGTAGGGGCCACAGAAGTGACATAGAAAAAAATTATCCATGATCCCAACCTCCAGAGGTGACCACTGCAAATTTGCGCCCTTTCCTCTACCTTGGGCTGATGCTCTAAAGCCATTCTCAGGGCTGAAAGTAAAGATCACCCCAGACAAAAGAATCAAATGGATTTCCAGGTGGGCCTAGCAATTTTCAGAATTGTGGCTTTCCCAGGTTGACTCTTAGTGAACAGACATCACTTTTCCTACAGTACTAGTATGTGCAGGGAGTTGGCAGTAGATGATATGATATGATATGATTTATGATTTTTAAGGTTTTCCTAGACTTTACTCAGCATTAATTAGATAATATAATGTTGGTTCTATTACTCAAAGTCATTGTGAATCACCCACCACAGCTGTGAGAGAAAGTTAAGTTGAGTCAAAGTCATCAGGAGATTTCAGGCATCCATCTGTACAAATTCCCCCATCCACCCATCGGGTAATGCAAACACCTCAATAATAATGGAAATATAGACCTCACTTCAACAGACATTAATTGAGCCCCTTCTGTGTTCAGTACTGTACGTGCTAATCAAGTGCTTTCCATGTTCTATGAACCATTTAATTGCCAATGTTTACTTAGGACAGGGCTGGTTTGCCTCTGGCTGGTTTGCCTTTGGTGTGTGCTGCCAAAGTGTCCTTGACGAAGTTCACTTTAACCTAAAGAGGAAGGGCAGGAGGAGTAAGTGACTCCAAATAGAGACTTGTTTTCCTCCCGTAAGGCTTGTTGCCCCATAAGGAAGACCACTGTCGGTCTCACCTGTGTGTGCCCTGAGGGTACTAGGGGCCCGTGATTGGAAACTTAGATTGAAATTGATTTGGGATGGCTTCTCAAGAGGCTTTCTTCATAGCTAGCTAATCTCTCTTTAACTAAACTGTAAGTCAGCCACACTATGACAGATGTGATGCTAAGACCTGGATATAAAGAGGTGTGTGTGTGTGTGTGTGTGTGTGTGTGTTCCTGTATGTATAGATGCCCTCATCGTTACTTTGTTTGTTTCATTTGTTACTAGCTAATGTTTACGGAGTTCTCACAGTATCCTGAGCACCGGACCAAATCCTTAATATGTGTCATCTCAGGAACGCTCACACAACCGGGAGGACCTCTATTTTACAGGTGAGGAAATGGGCTATAGCAGCGATCGACCTTGTCACATAGCTAGTAAATGTCAGAGCCCAAGTCAGACCTAGGTCTCTCGGATACAAGAGGCCAAGGTCTTCACCGCTTGGCTACACCCTATCTGTAGCCAGATAGTTGCTGACTATTGAAGAATCAGAAAATGTAAGAGCTATTTGAGAAGACAAACCTAAGAATTATTTATCCCTCCATTCTTTTAACCAGAGCAAATCTACTTTCATTTGTTTTATATAAGATCACATTTGAAGAAAACAAAAATCATATTTGTTTCGTCATGGCAAAACAACAAAAATTATAAACCATGAGCTGAGCTAGAAGTAACCAGCATTCCTGGGAGACTTATAACCCTGAGCCGTAGTTAAGTTGCGGACTGTCATTTCACTGGGGAGTGGCAGCCCAGCAGCGGAAAGGGGGCTCTACAGAAGTGACCTCCAGCTTTGACAAAGCATATGAGATTTGCAATGTCTGCTGTGCACAACGCCTGGCTCAAAGTGTCACACACTTGTTGTGGGATAAATGGAATCTTAAGCCAGAAAATGCAAGACTCCCCAAACCTCAATCCAAAGTAGACTTTGACTTGGACTCAATAAGTAGCAGCATTTATAAGTTTTGTGCAAAATCAAATATCACCATTCCAGGGCATGAATTTGATATATTTATTATGCAATCAGCCCTGCTTGTGGTTAGATCATGGTGCGTTTGCTACCTTTTAGCCTCTAGGAGAATGAATAGCACTTAGGGACTTCCCTGGCAGTTCAGTGATTAAGACTCTGCGCTTCCACTGCAGAGGGCCTGGGCTCGATCCCTGGTCCCGCAGCCATGGTGCGGTCAAAAAAAGAGAAAATGATTAGCATTCAATCTAATATCCATTATTTTAATCCAAGGAGATAAGTAGATCAGAAAAAAAAACTAATGAAATACAAATTGACTCATACAAGAACAAGTCACAGATAACGTGGTATATATATCTTGGCAGAAAATAAAAGAGTGAGTAGTTGAGGTTGACTCAGATGAATAAACATGGGTGCCCAGGGAAAGCCTGTTGAGAGCAAGATGACCCCTGAAAACATAACCCTGGTTATTTGCACGTACTTCTGAAGGCTTCCTCTAAGAAAATATAGGATTTGGCCACTTCACATAGAGTCACCTATATAAAAGTTGATCTAGAAAACTGTACAGAAGCATACAGGTGGTAACTGTGGTTTCCTAGCTCACAATAGTTAATGAAAACCCAATGATTTTTGTGACCACCTATAGGGGTGGGATAGGGAGGGTGGGAGGGAGACGCAAGAGGGAGGAGATATGGGGACATATGTTCATGTATAGCTGATTCACTTTGTTATAAAGCAGAGACTAACACACCACTGTAAAGCAATTATACTCCAATAAAGACATTAAAAAAAAAACCCAATGATCATTTATTGAATGACGTGACTCTGATGTCTGCTACTGTGCACTTCCCAGAAGGCACAATAGTAGGTGGCTGCGTCTTGTTCCTGTACATTGTGAATGGTGAGGGTCGACGTAGAAGTTTCGGGTTTCTTGTCTGCCTCAAACTTGCCCAGTGTAACGTCTGATTCCCTTTTGACGGTGTCGTTAGATGAAATGTGTAGCAGGTGCTGCACGGCTTCACCGGGTCTTTCTTGATACCAATACACAGACATTTTAGAAATGGTTACACCAGATAGCACACATTCCAGGCGGGCTGTTTTTGACAGCTTTTTGGTACTGGAGGGTTGAGGTTGCTCTAGATGACCTGCACCATACACACATGCTGGAAAAAAAAGAAAAAAAAAAGAGAGAGTAAATAAACCAGAACCTTGGAATTTTTTAAAAATGACGGAATTAGAGAATATTGGTCAAAGGCTACTAAGCGAAGAAAACAACTTACATGCCCCAAGGACTGTCAGAGTGAGCACGTGGAACAGCGATGGCATGTCTGCATGAACTGTGCTCTCTTCCAGGACAGACTGGAAGCGCTGCTGAGAATAGTTTCAGACCAGTGGGGCTTGGCTGAGTCAATCAAGTCTAACTTCCTATTGGTGACGGTGACACGGCTCTTTCCTCATTGTGAAGGAGCGTTTCTCACCACCTGCTATTACATCCTCTCCAAGACAGTAGTTCAAGCTCCTCCAACTTAATATAGACCACACAGACGGCCACTTTAGAACCCTGACGGGACTCATTTTTCCAAACGGTATTCATGAATCTGCCATGACGTGCAAGGCATTATGCTAAGTTTTTTGAGTGTAATAAAGATGCAAAGATGGGGCATCTAACCGTGGAGAGCTCTCTAATGGGGAGATGGGGTGACTTAATGCCGTGATCAAGGTATTTATTCTCTCTTTTCTCCCACTGCCTTTCAGAGAAGAAATCCTCCATAACCCCCAGAGAGGTGGCAGCCCAGAGCTGGTGAGGAAAGAAGGAGGGTGATCTGGGCTGGGTTATGCATCACTGGGCCCACAGAGAACTTCTGTAACCAGCTGGAGAGACTTCGGTTCATCAGTCTGCTTACATCTGCTCAGTTACCCACACACACCTACAGCATAGGGTGCTACTGACCACCTCCAGGGTCTGGAGACTCCATTCCAGTTTGTTTGCTTCCATTTAAATTTCAGGTTTATGTCTTCCCCCTCGGCTACCTGCATGATAGATCAAATCCCAGTTTCTCGTCTATGAAACAGGATTTCCTCTTTCTGGGTTCCTGAGTTTCCTTTCAGTCTGGTTTTCTTTCTCTAACCCCAAGATATTTCACCTGTTTAGGGTAGTTTTAGGAAATTAAGGGTTTAGTCTCTGGATCATCAGAAGGTTTCATTTGAAAGTGACAGGTTCTGATAGATTCAGACGAAAGGAGGGGGCACTGCTGGCTCAGATCAACTCCACGTGGCTGCCAGCCTTCCAGACTTCCTTGTCATGTGAATGGTCCCGTCATGGGGCTCTGCCTGGGGACCCCGGCTCTCTGGACAGACAGCAACGTAACCCCATCAACAGTGGGCTGAGGGGAGATGGTCCTTCTCAGGACGGAGTCACCAAAAAGGGACATTTGCAGAGTCTGACATGAGACCCTGTAATTCTGTGAGGATATATTGCTTTGGAAAAGATAGAATGACACCTGGAATCCAAGAACTGCCACTTGAAGGATGTGTGTCCTTGGGCAAGTCACTGTAAATGGGAACAATGGTGTTTACTCTGGTTATGCTGTCCACCCTGTGCCAGGGATTGTGTCAAGTTGTTTGTTTTTTAAATAAATACTATCTAAGTTGGTCTTAAGTACCATTTAATTCTTATAACATTTTAATCCTTGTAATAATACTTCAAAGTAGTTATATTCAACCACATATGACAGATGAGAGAATCGGAATCTTAAAACATTTCATCTGCTCGGGATCTTTTTTTTTTTTTACATCTTTATTGGAGTATAACTGCTTTACAGTGGTGTGTTAGTTTCTGCTTTATAACGAAGTGAATCAGCTATACGTATACATATATCCCCATATCCCCTCCCTCTTGGATCTCCCTCCCACCCTCCCTATCCCACCCCTCTAGGTGGTCACAAAGCACCGAGCTGATCTCCCTGTGCTATGTGGCTGCTTCCCACTAGCTATCTATTTGACATTTTGTAGTGTATATATGTCCATTGCCACTCTCTCACTTCGCCCCAGCTTACACTTCCCCCTCCCCATATCCTCAAGTCCATTCTCTATGTCTGTGTCTTTATTCCTGTCTTGCCCCTAGGTTCTTCATAACCTTTTTTTTTTTTTTTTAGATTCCATATACATGTGTTAGCATATGGCATTTGTTTTTCTCTTTCTGACTTACTTCACTCTGTATGACAGACTCTAGGTCCATCCACCTCACTACAGATAACTCAATTTCGTGTCTTTTTATGGCTGAGTAATATTCCATTGTATATATATGCCATATCTTCTTTATCCATTCATCTGTTGATGGACACTTAGGTTGCTTCCATGTCCTGGCTATTGTAAACAGTGCTGCAATGAACATTGGGGTACATGTATCCTTTTGAATTATGGTTTTCTCAGGGTATATGCCCAGTAGTGGGATTGCTGGGTCATATAGTAGTTCTATTTTTAGTTTTTTAAGGAACGTCCATACTGTCCTTCATAGTGGCTGTATCAATTTACATTCCCACCAACAGTGCAAGAGGGTTCCCTTTTCTCCATACCCTCTCCTGCATTTATTATTTGCAGATTTTTAAATGATAGCCATTCTGCTCAGCGTCATTTAAGAAGTAGGTAATGGAACCTGGCTTCAAACTCAAGTCTAACAAATTACAAAGCCTGTGCCAACATCTGTTCAATACATAAAGGTGATATATATATATATATATATATATATATATATATATATATATATGATTTCTTTTAAAATTATAATATGCAAGGGACCATGAAGAAAATTTCAGAAATATTACAGAAACTCAAGAATAACTCTCACACACCAGCACACAAAGCCTATAAGATATTCTTGAAGAACCTACATTCATTAACGTGCGACCTCAAAAAGTAAAAGAAATTTCTTCTAACACTTTTGAGTTAATAGTTGATGGCCTTTTAAAAAGCCTAATTTTCTTAAGGTTGTAACAGAAATCATTGATCCATTAAATGACAACAAATACCCTTTATTGAATGTGAAACATTGTACATACTTATCCCTCCTTTGCAAGCATAAAAGCATACTTATGCCCATTTTACAGATGAAACAGGCTGAGAGAGGTTAAGTAACTTACTTGAGGTTGCCTAGGGAATAAAGACACACCAAGAATTTGAGCCAAGTCAGCCAGTCTCCAGAGCCTGTGCCCTAAGTAACATGCTTGGCTGTTTATGATTCAGGAATTACTTTGTCTCCTCACTGGACTGTTTCGTTTTAATGCAGATTGTGGGGTTACTGTACATCGGATCTGTTCTCAATTCGTGCTTCCTGCTTACAAAGTGCAGTAGTAGTTACGCTAACTTCTAGCACCCCCTCTTGGCCATAGGAGGTATGTCATACATGTTATATTCCCCTGCATCGGAGCCCCAGTAAGTGATGTCTGTTAGCAGCAAAGACTCAGCGTGATGAATGAAAGTGCCCTGGAATGCAAGGCAGAAAACTTGTTTTTCCAATTGTATTCCTAATATGCTTGGTATTTTTAAGCAATCGACTCCTCCTTGCAAGGCCCCCATTTCCCCAGCCTCAAAATGAGAGGAGAGGGTGATGTTTTTGGTCACTTCCAATTCCAGTAATTTGTGATTCTGAACTGGATTGACACTCCGGTTGTTGAAATAACAGGTGTGGCAGGATGCAAAAAATGAAAGCTTATCATTTTGGTTTTGATGTAGTAATAATGCATGTTGCTTGCTTCCTCTTGACTTAATAACCGCTCTGGAAAACTTTTATTCTGAGTAGGTTCCTTCGCAAAACCCCATTAATTCCTAAGTGTGTTGTGAGGGTATATATAGCCACTGGCTTTGTTACCCAGCCTGACCACTACAGAAAGTATTTCCTCCAGCAAACTTGTCCCAAGCCAGTGCAAAGGAAATGCTCAAATATCGCACCTAGAAAAGATGCAAACGTTGAGGCATGGAGAGAGCCCAATGTGCTCACGCGCGTGCACACACACATGTGCACACACAGGTATATGTACATGACTACGGTACATACCCAAAGCTGAATTATGCCGATTATCATAGGTAATTGGTTCTGGCTCTGTTGAGAAACTAAGAGAGAAGACCTTCAGTAAATCTAAATATGCCTACAAAATAGAATTCTCTTGGGGATATTTCGAATTTGCCGTCTGTCTGTACCACTCCCATACTTCGTTTATTTATAATTTGAAAGTGTTGTAATGTTTCATGGTTTTAAAAAACCGAAAGGATTATCAACAACATACTCAGTATGCCTGTCTCTGAGGGACATGGTAGTTGACTATGGTTTGGAAAACATCTTGGCTAAAAACTAGATTCTCACACCTCCTTTCATTTTCATTTCACAGAGACCCCCAAAGGCTTGTATCAATACCGGACTCCAGGTTTTAAATGCAGGAGCATCCTCATTCTGGGTTTGCTTTAATTGTCTTGGAGGAGACCATTGCCTTGAAGGTGAGGTCAACTCCATGACTAGTGCACCATGGCCAGGTCCAGCTAGACATCCGTTGGCAGCCAGTGTCCCTGAATTTTCCCTGAAGAAGGAAACAGTTGGGTTGTCCACAACCACTGAAGAAAATGAACAAATTCCCCTTGGGTTAACCTGATCTTAATTTACCAGTTGAAAACATACTTGAGATTGAGGGGAGATGGGTTGTCGACGATTAAGTCTCAAAGCTCAAATATGAGGTTTTGATGGCTTGCCCTGGAATTAGCATTCTCTGAGTTTCTCCATGGTATATATTCTCTGATTGCTTTTTGGGTTTTGTGTATTTTTTAACCTTCATTCTCATTTTTGTGTGTGTCATATTTCTCAGTGTAGAGCACACTATCACCATTAATCTGTACCAGTCATGTTACATAGTTTTACGTATTTGTTATTTATTTTATTCTTTTTTCCCCTTCGTTCCCTATTCCAGTTCCTCCATAGATGCTCGATCTGTTTATGTCCTTCAAGCTTATGTATCTGGGAGAACTAGAGTATCATTTGTGAAGAATGTATTTTTGCGTTGATATAAATGGCATAGCAACCTTACCTGCCTGTGTCTGTACATCTGTCTGCTCACCTGGTTTACTGCTCTTCACAGCTCGCTGCATCCATCCCCCAGGGACCAGCACCTCACCTGCTGTCTCCTCCTGGCCATCCCCAGCTATGCAGTGACTGACACCTCAGAGGATCTCTTCATGCCCAGAGTAAGCAATTCCCTGGGAATGTAACCCCAGGGCTGTAGGTCACAGGGACTACACATACACATGTTCACTAAATACCGTCAGTGCTATGTTAGCTGACA